GATGCACTTCTGAAGAAAAAGAAAACTGAGGTTTATTGAGCCCTGATTAAGTAAAAGGCCTAATGTTACCTACTTTTCCAACTGATCCCACAGACGAAGTCTTGACCTTATAGTATGATGTGGGAAATGGAGGTTCTGAGACGCTGAGTCACACAGCAAATAAGTGATAGCTTGAAACTCTAATTTTAATCTGACTCCAACGCCCTCATTTATTTCTCTGCATTTAGACTGAAATAAAGCCATGTTATTTTAATAAACACTAAAACTAAAAATTTTTCCCTCAAACTACAAATAAAATATTGAGGCTTTTTATTTGTTTGGCAGTCTTTACAAGTGATGATGATTTGATAAATGGCCAACTAGTTTGTCAACACTATAAAAAAGATACTTTTTACCAGAGATTTAAGTTCAACAAGGTGATGGATACATAACACCTGGGTCGGACAGAGACTTGTCAACTTTGTGCTAACAGCTGCTTTTCACTGAAAGGCCAGCCACAGGCCAGCATTCTCATAAGATTTGCACTCACACCTGTGTACGGTGGAGGTAAAATGGTTCCACTAAAGCGGTCTTAGAGACACTGAGCACTGGCTAGAAAATCAGTTACTGACAACATCACCAGCAGTATAAGCTCGGATCTGCCCCCTAGTCATGGGCACCGGCTTCTTAGTAATCTGGCTCCTAACCACTGCCTGGGATTTGACTTCTTCTTGGTATTTGACCACTGGCGTTTTCATTTTCCCTAAGGTCTCTGTTCAACTTGAACTTGAAATTCACTGGCAGTTTCTCTTTCCTGATCCTACAGCCCAACCTCACATCTTCTATAAAACAACTCCAACTAACATATACTGTCCATCTCACAGACTTCAGGACGTTCAGATATTGCATACGTTAGTACTCTTTCACTCCCTGTAGCTGGAAAAGTAGTTCATCTAAAAATGCCAGTTCAAAATGTATCCATTTCCAAAAACCAACAGAACTGTGGCTACTTCTCCCTATCAAGTCTATCAAGAAATGCTTTCTCAACCCCTCTGTAACCTCATGATTCTGTACTCTGTGGACCTCTCTGTCTTTTGCCTTTATTTTTATTTTCATATTTTTTTCTGTTCTAAATGGAAAATACAAAAAAGAAACACATTTTACTTATCTTTGTTCTTCTCCATAAATTCTTAAGTATATTTTTACTTAAATGGCTGAATTAGCCTCACATGTTCAGCTTCTGCTGCTGTCTCAGGGTCACATTATCACACAATGCTTCCCCATGATTAAAAATTAATACTATTTTTTTAAAGAGAATTTAGTTGACTGCTTCTCAGCCTTTTGGCTAAGATCAAGTGGAGAATTCAGTTGAGTAAGAAATAAAAGTCCTAAAACATCTTGTCAAGTAAAATATTAACTCCTCAAGATATACTGCAGTTTTTAAAAATATACTCTGTGCTGAACAAACATCTTTAGGAAAGAGCAAGTTGAAGTCAAAAGGGTTTTCTTATTGCAGATATTCTTGGATATTTCAATATGTGCATCTCCTGGAATGGGTACAGCATATTGAAGCATGTTTTCTTTTATAACTCACAGGCTTCTTCCTCTGAGTTACATATTTGGAAAATTCTGGAATAAATTATATCCAGTCTTTCATATTTGCATCTAGTCATATTTGCTGAAAAGCTTGAGTTTAGTAGCTACAGCTAGAAAAGGGCAAGGGGAGAGACTTGCTTTTAATCCTTAAAACTCAGTGAGTTTTATAAAACAGGTACTATTTATTAAGTTTTTCATCTGCTTGACCTACTTGAAATACTAAAAAAAGACCCAAGTTCAACATTTTATCAAGTTTCTTCCACACAATTTTGTAAACCAATAGTATCGGGCTATATTATAATTAGATCATTCAAATATTTAAATAAATTTCATACTTTAAGCTAAATAGGAAATGTTTCAATATTTGGTTGCATAATGTTACACAATTATTTTCTTACTAAATATCAGGCCATTTTCACATGTTGTTCATTAATTCAGAACTAGCATTTCCATTTCAAAAGCAAACACATACTCAATCATGTGGAATAAATCCAGATTATAAATTTGATTATTTTGTTTAATGTCACTCATGACCAAGGACAGTTTCAAACAGTACGTGGAGGATAAAACTGAGTGCAGTTATTTGTTTTTAAACTGTGTTCTGACAATACATGTGTCTTTAAGAAGGAAACAGAATTATAACAAGAACACTGAGAGTCCACTGCTCTGTTAATGTATACCAGCACTATCAATGGCACCTGCAGATTTTCACCCAATATAGTGTTTAGAATTCAGTTTTACAAAATCCCTATTAAAACAAACAAACAAACAAACAAACAAACAAAAAACCTCGCTGTTTTAGGAGAATTTAAAGAAAAAAATAAGGTTAATGCTAGGGTTTTTTTTTACTCATTCATTTAACAGCAAACACTAAGAACATCTACCACGTGCCAGGCAGTGTTCTAGCTACTGATGCCACAGGAAACAAAAGCCAATACAGATGCTGTGCCCATGGAGCACACAGAAAATAAATAAATCATCTAGTATATGAGGCCCAGAGAGAAAAATTAAGGGAGTGATGGGGTGGTATGAGAGAGACAGAGATAATTTTAAATTTAGTGTCCAAGGCCTCAATGCAAAGGAGACATTACAGCAAGAACTTGAGGGAAATAAGGTATAAGCCATGCTGCTCTCAGGTGAGAGAGCATTCCAGGCAGAAAGAAGAACAAGTGCAAGCATCCCTGAAGAGGGCTCTTGCTTCTTATTCCTTTTATGTTTAAGAGAATAATAGGAAGTGGTTTCCTTATTTGGGGATTGTTCAGGTTATAATTTTCTATTTGGGGTTCAGGGGAGATGGAGGAAAGTGGTAGAAGGTTTGAGGCAACTATCTAATCTGTCTTGTGACTCTATGGCCCACAGGCCAAATCTGGCCCATTATCTGTATTTATAAAGTTTTACTGAAACACAGCCTCATGCATCGGCTTACATATTCTCTATGGCTGCTTTCATGCTACGACTGCTGAGCTGCTGATGTCCCATAGAGATCATATGGCTGTAAAGATTAAAATATTTATTATCTGACCATTTACAGAAAAGGTTTGCTAATATCTTTTCTATGGAATTCAGAATGTCATCTAAATTAGCGCTGCCTGCACCAAAGAGACATGTGACCATGAGTTAAACAAAGCTTAGTAACCTTGCATAAGGAATCGGTAGGCATCACTTTTTATAACTAATGAGCATCTCAAACAACCTCACAATGGCCTATGGAGTCTAACTGTGAAAAGGAAAAATTCAGATTCTACTTCTAGTCTAATAAATACATGGTTCTTGGCCAGTTACACATATTTCTATCCAGTCATAGCAATATAACCATGGAGAAGAATTTTTTTTAATTTCTTAGTGATATAACAAGCTCTTTTGTTTACTTTCCTATCTCCATTCATCCAGGTACCCAGGAGAAAAACTTTTAAACCCAAAAAGTTTCCCCTAAAATACAAAAATATAAATCAGAAAACTTAGAGCATCTAACTGTAGGCAGGTTCAGAATAGAAATGATGGAGAGTCAGGTTCTGATAGAGAGAAAGGGAAAATGTTCTAACTGTCCCAGAGATGGCCAATAATGGGGAAGGTTCTGCAGTGTGCCCAGAGAATAAACAGACCAACTCTGCAAACAGCAAGGTGCCACCAGAGTTCAGGAGATCATACAGAAAACCATAGCTGCTAAGGGCTCAGGACCCAGAGTCTGCTAAATCTTCTGGTGATATTTTGAGAGAGCCCTAGGATCTCTCTAAACACTTAAATTAAACAAAAATGAAAGATTTGAGCACATTCCAGCTCACTGTTTCATTCCACCAGTATGTATGTTTGAGCGCTGACTCATTTTTGCTATTTGACTTTGTCATCCTAATGTAACCAGAAAGGAACTAATACTAAGAAGTACTCTGCTTCGGTTTATTCAACATCTAGTTTGCTAAAAGAATGCAATTCTATGAAGTATTAACCACATAATTATTAACCATAAAAGTGTTGGCGTTTGAGTTTTTTGTTGTTGCTATTTTGGGTTTTCTTTTCTTTCTTCAGAACTCACTAGTCAACTGATGCTCCTTCTGGTAATTTTTTTCTAATACAATTTATTTTAGGTCAAATGAAGGCTTTCTAGAAATGTGTACATTTGGGAGGAAATAGAGAAAACTAGCACATTGTAGAGACTCACCATGTTAATTACTTAAACATGAGAGGTTTAACCCCCAAATAATTTAATAATCCATAAGGAATATTTCAAACAAGTATTTTAAAAGACATCCAAAAATAAAAATGCCAAAAAAAAAAAAAAATCTAATTAAACATTATCCCTCCCCAAAGATTTCTCAGTACTAGAAAATTCTTACAGGACATAAGTTTCTCTGTAAACAGAAATGATAAATCTGTTTGAAAAGTATAATATTCAAGAGACCTGACCTTCTGTGCAACATGAAAAATCAAAATATATCAATAATGATGAAGCCCTAAATCTAACAATAACATACTTTTCCTTAATTACAATAAGCCTTGTATTCCCAAACAGAACACTATTATGATATGAGCAAAAGCTAAACAGTGTGGGCTGAGTAATACTAACTCAATCTGTGTTGATTTTCTTTACTACAAATTGGGACACAGAATAGTGTATTTTGGTGCAAAGTTAGAAACTAACCTTAAGAATCTAGAGGTGAAATAATAACTTCCAGTTTTAACTGCTCTTCAGAACCTTAACCCAGCATTCCATCTAGCACACTGCACATGTTCCTCCCTATGTCTAAAGAATGGCATTTATTTACAAAAGCATGTTGCAAGTACCTAAAAACTGGATCTGTAGGCACAAGGGAGAGGGGGTAGGAAAGGATGGAGAATGGCAGCAACCTAAAAGGTTTAGAAATAATCTAGAATTTTTAAAAATGTTATCTATGAAAAAAAAAACAAACAAAAAACGACTACATACATACCCTTGAGGAGAGAGTTTGTCCAGCCAGCCTGATTTAACCTTCCTGGCAGATGATCCATAAAAACAGGCATAAGGAGATATTGCGTTTGAGGAAATGGCTGATGATGACTCAGCATTTCCACTTGTCGAGCTTAACGGATAACTGTGCCTAGTGACAGGGTCCAAATTCAGTGCTTTCTGAGTCCTAGATTTAGATGCCTTTGAATTTTTTCTTCTTAAACTCTGAAAGCATTCTTCTACTGTTGAATATTCTGAATCTGAAGCACAGCCTATCGGAAAACTTTTTTTGTCTTCTCGAGGTATCCAAATATCTTCCATCTTGTCTTCACTTACATTCTCTCTCCTGTTATCATATATGCTGAACAGAAAAGTATAGTGTAAACATTTCAAAGTGCTACATGTCATTTAAGCTGTCAGCTACTTTTTTAAATTTATAAACTACCAACTGCAGAAATTTAAGGCCAAGAAAATCTTAAATTAACCCACGTGATAATTTAAAAAACTCTTCCAGAAAAATTAAATAGAAATCTCTCATTATCCTAAGACATCTCTGAACACTACTAGGCATAGTATATTTTTTCTTACGTATCATGTAATATATTTCTTCCAAAGGTTGGGTGCGGGTAGTAAGGATGGAGACTGACCATACTTTTGCATCACAACTTAAACATCTTCACCGGCCCCACTTAGCGGCCAGCCCAAATCCTAGTGCCTGGGCAACATCATGAACCACTAACTTACCTTTCTGGAGATCTTACTTCCAAACTTGTTACCCCTTCTCTGGCTCTCCACTAATCAACTCCAAGGACCCTATGTTCCACTATAATGTACTAAAACATGGACTAACTGTGAGTGGTGATAGCCTTAGTATTATTTTGCACCGCTAATGAGGAAAAACTTCACCACCATGCTAACTAGAAAATGAGAGTCAGGGTATACTCAGAAGGTAAAAGCCGGGTAGCATATAATATGTACTATAATATATTCATAATAGCTAAGCATATTGCTATAAATTTAAGAAATAACAAAATAGACTCACTGAGTAATTTATGTATAATAAAACTCATTACAAAGTATTTTTTGCTAATCAATAAAACAGATGTATCTGGGGGTCAAATTACGTCCTTCTAGATATGTTCTAAAAACCATTACTTCCTTAAAGAATGATTTAGCCTGGCCCCTTCTACATTTTCCATAATAAGAGGTCCACATCAAATGCTTGCTGAAGATACTCAATTAGTATTTTGGTATCATCCTTAAGTTTTAATATTTTCCTTAAGTTTAGTTTCAACTCAAGGAAACCCACAACAGTGCTGGCCTTGGAAAATGAAGAATAAAAAAGAAGATAAAACGGACGTCAAATAATGATCCAGCACACCAAATCCTAATAAAGCTGAGAGAAAAATAAAATTTAAGTTGGTGTCTTAAAAACTCTAATTTCATGTGTGATTCAAATAACTGAATAATTGTCAATGCTGAACTTCCAATAGAATACTACATTACATCCGTAAAAATTCTGCACCTCACATAGTGACATTTTTTGCACTGCCCTTTTCTTCTTCATATTAACATAACTTCTCATCTTAAAAGTACAATCCTAGTCACCTCATAAATGACACTGTGGAGCAGAGAGTGGTTTCAATAAGAGAAAAAACAAAAATAATCTGCTACAGAATATTACTATATTCTTGATTTACAGACTAAATTCAATTATTAAAATGAATTCTGTTTTTGAAACATTTAAAAAGATTTGAACTTACCAATGTAAACTATTTTCTTAGAAATATATTATGAGCAAGAAGTCAACATTTTATTCAAAAGAATTAATCATCATCAATCATGACCACATACCTTGATTCGATAAAAAATGAGTTTCTTTCAGTAGTTCCTTCCCCTTTGGGTTTTTCTTCATGGGTCCAAAATTCATTCTTTATAGACCTCTTCTATAAAAAAAAAAAAAAGAAATGCACTTTTTTTAAGGTTGCAATATTCTACAAAGATCCACAATATCTAGGTCTAGTTGTAGTAAAGAAATAACTAATTGCCTAGATCAATTTTCAGTAAAAATTTAATTAGGGAGATAATATTAAACAGTAGCTTTTCATGACTTTTTTAAATATTTTATTTAAATCATTAATAACAATCATTTCAACTAAGAAAAACAAAAATGCTAATCGACAATAAAATGTTTACTTTTACTTTCCCACTTACATTTTGTCTTCTAGCTTTTCTTTATCATTACCCAGAAATAAAATAGCAATTGAGCACAAGTACTGGATTGTAAAGACTAAGGCATAAACTGAATAATTAAGATATGGAAATAGTTAGAAGTCTGTATTTGTGTATAAAGGCAAAGCAAAATCTAGGAGGGGTTATCTATTTGCTTTTCTTTTACTGGGTTTTGGGTTTGTTTGTTTTTTTAAGTAACTTGTGGAAATTTTTGAAAACCTATTTCTAAAGTCTAACTGAAAATGAGTTTCTGTGATATATATTTAAAGATATAAATTTAACATGATTTTACTGAACAGTATTTTCCTGACTGAAAAGTTCATTCTTCAATAAAACATTCTTCAAACAGCTTACAGGAAAATGAAGTGGCAAATATACACAAAAGAGAAAAGAACTGAATATGAAAAAAAAATTAAAAGATATGAGACTAACCTTGGAATTTTCTAGTCTCTGGAAGATAAAAGTCTCTCCATAAGGAAAGATGGAAGATGAGTTCTCCTCATTTGAATCTTCTGCAGGAATTACAGAATGAGAATGGAAAGATGTGAATAATGTGAATTATTATTTTTAAAAAAAGGTATGTGTTTAACTATTTTAAAGCGATATTACAACTTAAGCTTTTTTCTCTGAGAGTCCAAAATTATGCTCGGAATTTTTATCCCCTAATCAAGTCTCTCCATGATCTTGATGTAGCATTCACTGTATATGTCCCTTACTTCACACTATGACATATTACTATTTTTTTAGTGTGATATATATGTCCTTGCTATCCTCTAAGATTCACATTAATATAACGAAGCACATTTTCCACATACAATGAAAATTTTCATGGTGCCAATTATGTTAATTCCTAATTAAGAGAATTGTATTAACAGCTGAAAATTAATCGTAATTCTATAACTTTCTATAAATTATAAAAGTTCATTAACTAGATGTTATACCACCCAAAATACCAGAATCTACTTAATATAATCCCTCTAATTCCATAGCTACTAACACATGTGTAAATAAAATTATTTCAAGAGAATTTCCACCATCTTTGAATTACACCAATCTACAGGAAAAGATTCTCAACACTTGCATTTTCTAATACGGCAAAAAAAAATTAAAATAAAATGTTAAGGTTCAGTAGCCAAGCGTTTGGATCTTATTGTTGAGGAGAACGTTCTTTAACTTGTAGAAGCAGAATTTTTAAAAAGAAAGAAAAGCCTCTGTCAATGATCAATTCACCAGAGCAAAGTCAGCCCTTTCCTGTTACCATGGCAAAATTACTTCCCATAAATCTATGTCCTGTAGTTCAGACTGTCAGAAACTACTTAATTCAGTTAAATGCCTTCGACTGTGGCTAATGATAATGAAGCTTGTACAAAAAAATCTTTTTATATTGCCAGATGTAAATTTCCAGGAGTTTGCGTGTATAGTAGTGCCTTTTAATGCACTCACTTTTAAAAGTGTCCGAAGTAATATGAACCCTCCCTAGCAGACAGTTATTCCCATTATTCCCTATTCTGCAGGTGGGCTGCCTTCTCAATCACAATTTAAACACATTTAAGACTATCGAATGAGTGCTAATTTACAGAGATTTGCAATGCTAAGACTCACTTTGCTGTGTCACAGACTTTCCAGTTGAGGTAGCAACATTTCTTCTCTCTCGGAAATAGCTTAAAGCAAAGAGAAAAATAGATAAGTTAAAATAGGTAAGTAAAAATAGGTAAGTTTTAATCTTGAGTAAAGGATTAATTATAGAGACATACATTCTTTTGAGTAGAAAAACCAATACTAAAAAATAATTTTGAATTTAAATAAACAGAATGGCGAAATTCAACAAAAGTGTTTTTCTGAATAGCGTAAAGGAAGAGATTTAATGAATTTACAAGTGTTTGCTTCTCACATTTATAATTCAGAAAAGCAAATAAACATATTTGTCCAATGCTAGTATGAACAAAGGCAAGTTCAAAATGGCTGTTCTTATCCATCTGAGAAACAAATTTTCTAACTAGAATTCAGTATTTATGTAGTTTTCCATTTTGTCATTAGCTTTATAGTAATGAATAAAAAATGTATCTGGCTCTATGAGCATAATATGAAAATAAACAAGACTTTTTCTCAAAGGTCTTGAGAAAGAAACATTATATATTACAAGTAATGATAATGAATACAACATAACAGCAATAACAAAGGGGGGGGAAAAAACGAATACCTGCTACTATAGGAAAGAATTCTACGTAGTTTTCCAGATAAATATAAGGACCTGGGCAGTGTCCTTAAATACATATCTGCCTAAGTAACTACAAGTAAGAAAATTTAAAAGAACAACAAAAATACAGAAATCAATAAAACAAAATATGGACAACATTTTTAAAATAATTTGTAACCAAAAGCTGGTTCTTTAAAAAATCAATAAAATTGATAATCTGAATTCTACGTAGTTTTCCAGATAAATATAAGGACCTGGGCAGTGTCCTTAAATACATATCTGCCTAAGTAACTACAAGTAAGAAAATTTAAAAGAACAACAAAAATACAGAAATCAATAAAACAAAATATGGACAACATTTTTAAAATAATTTGTAACCAAAAGCTGGTTCTTTAAAAGATCAATAAAATTGATAATCCTCAGGGAAGGAAAATAAAAGATTGAACATAAATTACCAATATTAGAAATGAAAGAGGGGACATCGCTACAAATCCTGCAAACATGAAAGGAATACTTACAGATTATTAAGAAAAACTTTATGTCAATAAATTCAACAGATTAGATAAATTGGAAAAATTCCTTGAGACACAAATTACCAAATATGACACAAGAATAAACAGAAAACTTTGATATCCCTATATCTATTTAAAAAATTGAAGTTAGTGATTAATCACCTACTCACAAAAAACACCAGGTCCAGATATTTCACTGGTGAATTCCACCACTTAAGAAAAAAATACCAACTCTACACAAACTTTTTCAAAACTAGGGGAGGAGGGAGTACTTCCAAACTCATTCCTTAAGCCCAGTATTACTGATATCAAAACCACTCAAAAACAATACTACAGATATATGTTAGATAAGCATTCCTCAAGAACATGGATTCAAAAATCATTAACGAAATATTAACAAGAAAATCCAATATATAAAAATATGACCAAGTGAGGTTTACCCTAGAAAAACAAAATTAGTTTAACATGGAAAAATGTAAGTCACCAAATTAAGAAAATAAGGGAAACAAATCACATGCTCATGACGACAGATCCAGAAAAAACACCTGACAAAATTCAACATCCAATAATGACAAAGATTCTCAGCAAGCTAGAAACAGAAGGAAACTTCCTCAACCTAATAAAGGGAATTAATGAAAAACCTACATCATAACTAATGGTTAAAGATTTAATAGTTTCCCCTGAGACTGAGAGTAAGGCAAGGAGGTCTGCTCTACCTGCATTCACATTAATTCGGTGGTCCCAGCCAATACAACAACATGAGAAAAAGAAATAAAAGGCATGTAGATTGGACAGGAAGGTATCTTATACTTAGAAGGTATCTAGTAAGTAGAAAATCGTAAACAATCTACCAAAAAGCTTCTGAAAAAAGTAAGTCTAGCAAGGTCCAGGATAAAGGGTAAATGCTTTTAAAAGTCAATAATATTTCTAAATATTGACAATGAACAACTGAAAAATGATTTGAAAATACAATTTTTACAATGAAATACAAAAACATGAACTACCAAGGAGTAAAGTTATCAAAATATGGGCAAGATGTGCACACTGAAAAACTATAAAACATTGCTGAGAAAAAATAAAGAAGACCTAAATAAGTGGACAGATATAACATGTTCATAGTTTAGAAGAGTCAACATTAAAATGTCAATTCTCCACATATTGATATAGAGTCAACATAATCCCAAATAAGATGCCAATGGGCTTTCTTTTAAGTGACCGTAATTTTCATACAACTATAAATAACCCAGAATGGTCAGAACAAATTTTTAAAGGAACAACAGAGGCACAACACCTAAAGAAGAGGGCTTTGTGACTTGTACCAAAGGATAAAATAGTTGCATGAATGATGTATAAAAATCATTAAACTGAAAAGAAAGATACCTCTTCAGTAGCTGAAAGAGACCTGTTTGTTCCTGCCTTGAGCACTAAGGAGGATTTTCCTGGAAGGATGAGAGGACGCACCTATCACTCCCAGGGAAATGGCAGCTGGTTTGGACTTGCTTTCTGCTTAGAAGTCTCTGTGGGACTAGGGAGACTTCCAGGTGAAGGCGATAAAGAAGAAGCTGGCTTTTCCAGCCTACTTCTGATCTGGCCCTCAAGAGAGAAGAATTTAAAAGGGCACCTGAGGTGCATTGTTCAGCACAGCCCCACCCAGCCCAGCCTTCCTGAGAAAAGGAGCAGACAGGAATTCAGGGAAGAAACCCGGGGCAAGAGCAAAAATAATCCATTTGACTGGAGACTCAACAGTGTCCAAGAAACCAGAGGAACAGTCTGGAGGGACTGTCCAGGAGAGAAAAACAAAGGACTTCACCTCAGGAAAACAGGCCCAGAACTGTATTTCTTTTAACAGTTGTATGAAATGTTTAATTAGCAAATAAATTATGTTAAAAGCATCAGCCACAGAGAAATATATTTATTTGGTACATTAAGGAATACACTGTCATTTAGATGTTATTTGATTAGAGAATATCTCAGATTACATAATCCACAATTTTATTTTAAAAGTCATAAAACTTTTAAAAACATACAATTATCATCTGCAATTCTGGTGAGGACTTTAAGTAAAAATAGACACTGAAGTTTGAAAATGACTTAATTACTTTCTTATTTTATGATCTAACCACGATAAATGCATAGCTACCATTTACTGCCATAATCAAAGGAGAAAAAATAGGCTACAGTGGGTAATCTGGGTAATGACGTAGATGCCACTAAGTTATTTACTACTCATTTTCATGTTATTTCCATTCTAATTTTCAAAGACTCATGGTCACAATAGTGTAGAACCTGGAAAAGAAGACACCTACCATAAGGGCTTAAGGGCTCCTGCTGGCTAACCAGGCTCAAAAAAAAAACAAACGAACAACAACAACAAAAAAACATAACATAGCAGCCATTTCTACACTGGGGCCTCTCACTCAAACTGCAATGGAGAGAGAAGCCTGCACTAAAACTACCTGCCTCCTGCACTGAACTGCCTCCCTGCACTGTTCCTGCTGTCTAAGCGAGCCCTTAGAAAGGAGTTCCTGGAATTACATTTCAACCAATAGGACTGAAATTGTCCCCATCCAATTCAAGATGTGCAGCTATATCCCCATCAGCATCTTCACTAGCAAGAGCAGCTTCATTCTGAACAATCGGGACACTGCCTTTTGGACCAATCAAACTGCAAGGATTTGGAGCCTCATTTGCATGAAAACAAACCAATCCTGGACCAGAGGAGGGGACTTATCTCTATATATGTCAGCTCAGGGAGTGTAGTTTTCCTTTCCATCTAAGACTGAAGACTGCATTTCCCCAGCTGAAGCTGAAATCACTAAGATGTCTCGCTAGAGCAGCGTGAAGCAGAACAGAGCTGTCTAGCCAGAAAGGGGCCTGGCCACAGGGCTGCCTCACAGCCGTGCTATTCCACGTGTGCTGCTTCATAATTGAGCTATAACGCTACTGCGCTATTCCACAGCCGTGCTTTTCTCACTGTGTGCTCTGTCACAACTGAGCTGTTTGCACTGAATAAAGTTTCATTCTTCACCACAAACAATCACAGGTTGACAATGGGAATAACAAGCCTTTGAATTTATGAAAAATAACACATCTTGTTTAAAACTTAAACCAAATGCTGATTTGAAGTTACCCTTATGACTCCAAAAGGATGCTGTTCTGACAAAGGCACAATTTTAATGTGTACTCATAGCAGTCTTTCTCGCTTTATTCTTTTAATTGTTTAAAATTAGCAAAACAGTTTAAAGTTAACATGTCATACAAAAATGATCGCCAACATTCCTAAGAAATATTCTAGTTCTTATACAGGCATATCTCATTTTATTGTGTTTAGCTTTATTGTGCTTCACAGATGTTCCATTTTTTTTCTTTTTACAAATTGAAGGCAAGACCCTCCACTAGCAAAAAGAATTTGACCCACTTTATTGGAGTAGTCTGGAACTGAACCCACAATACCTCTGAGGTATGCCTACGTATGCAATCAACATTTGTAATACTATTTACTAAATAAGTGGTTTAGAAAGTGGGTTCTGGAGTCACATTTCCTAGAATGAAATCCCAGTTTACTAATCTTGGGATCCTGAGAAAATTAACCTAAGGCTCAGTTACCTAAGTTACCCAAGAAAATGGATGACTATTACCTACCTTTCAGGGCCACTGTGAGAATTAGATAACCCACAGAAAATTAAAAACCAAACTAGCACCTACATGTTTAATGACACTATTACCACTGATTTCCCAGTAAACATTAGACTCTGTCATTGTCGCAAGGGATGCCAAGCTATACAAACGGATTAGGGCTTCTGCCTTTAGAGTTGATGCTCTCACAGGAGACTTAAATTAACAGCCTTGTTATTGCCGTGTTTCCTCTTGTAAAAACTAAATTTCCAAGTTTTCTCTTGAAAATACAACCGGGATCTGGCACTGTAACTATTGAAGGTGTCTTAGGGCAAGAGAACCCGTACCAGGAAGAGTAGAGACAGGGGTAAGGAAGGAGGACCTCATCACCGTAATGCCAGCCTCCAGCCACTGCAAGCCATCTGTAATAGCTTTCAATGCCACAGCAGTAACAGTCAAACTTGAAAGCCTCATGAAACCCAAGAAAAAGACAAGTGTTAGCTTTTAGTGAAAAATACACACACACACACACACACACACACACACACACACACACAACTTTAGAAAAAAACTGTAGCTATTTTAGGTGTAACTTCAAGAAACAGATAAAAAGCTCTCTCTGCTTTAAGTCTGCTTCTCTCAGACTCTGGAGTTACCTCAGTCTACCAAGGAGCTGACAAGCAGGTAGGCCCCCACTTTTGAGTTTCCATCTCTCGTGGACCTGGTTTCATACTGTACTGTTACCATCTTTTTACATCTATCTTCTCCATCATACTTCAAGCCCCTTTATTCCTCTCAATTGTTGAAAGAAAGCAAAAAGAACTGAACAAACTGGCCCAAAATGGAGTCACTCGTGCTAAGCCTCACATCACCAAATTGAGACTTAACATTTAACCCAGTTGCAGTTAATGAATAGCCTCTCCCAGGAATGTAACTTTTAACCAGTCAATAGAGAATTATCTGGTCAACACTAGTGAGGTATTCTGTAGGACAGACCTCAGCCTTCTCTCCCTAGGGAAAGTGATCTTGCCTGAAACCATCCATTCTTTGCCGGAATAACTTCCTTGCCTCACCTCCATCTGCCTATGAAAGTCTTCCACTTTGTACAACTCCTTGGAGCTCCTTTCTATTTGCTAAATGGGATGCTGCCCAATTCATGAATCAATATAAAGCCCATTAGATCTTTGAATTTACTCTGCTAAATTCTGTTGTTTAATACTACCTCCTTCACACCTAGCACAGTGACCAAGACCAAGTAGGTACTCACTATATGTGTGCTGAATTATTAATTCATGCCAACCATTGTGCCAGGCAGATACAAATGTTAGAAACATGGCCCCTGCCAAAGAACAAATAATTTTGTGGGGAGACAGAGTCAGCCATTCAAGTATGAGAACTCCACTCATAGAATAATGTAATTAATGTCACATGTGGAGGGGAGGCATGGGAAAAAACATCCACACAGAATCAAAGGAAGGGATGTTACCTCAATTAAATGGGACAAAGCTAAAGAGTCCCAGGCAGTTATAAGCTGGAAACATACTCTGGGAAATAGTGTATGAGAGAAGTGGCATGATGAAAAAGTTTTAAAAGAAAATAAAGAGGTTGGTTGAATAGGTAAATTAATATAAGTCAAATTTAGAAAGAAACACTGAAAATATAATTGTTAAAAGTAACTAAATTCCCCCAAATTGAGCACTTATAACACTTATGGCTTATCATAAAATTTCTTACCTTCCTGTAATTCCTTTTGTTGACCCTGGAATCTCTGGTACAGGCCTATGTCTCAGCAGAAAAGATCGAGATGGCCTTGAAACCAACTTGCTACGACTTCTCATAGGTGCTAGGAATGGTGATGACGGAACATACAAATCATTTACAACCATTTCTCCTTGAAATTTAAAGAATGGGGATGGTGGTGATCTTTCTAATAAACCATTAGTTCCATTTCCAGAATTTGCTTCTGATAATGAACAGTCAAAAGAAAGGCATTCAGGGTCTGCATTAGGAAGCTTACTCACATTTTCTGAGATCAAATCAACTTTTTCAGTTTGTTCTTCAATTGTACAATCCATAGTCTTCTTTGTACTTAAAGATTCTACTTTAATACTTTCTCTACCAAATAAAGAATCCTGTAAAGAACCTAAATTCAGGTCTGGTTCTTCTTCTGGAATGGGAAAGTTGTGTTCAGGAAGAGACAGCTTATCATTTGATTTAAGAGGCTGGCTATTTTCCACACTGACGTCACTTTGATCAAGATTTTTTATAACGATCTCCAACTGCGTTGGGCTAGGTGTCTGAACACGACATGAATCTGAAAGTTCTATGCAGGTATCCTGATCAGAAGACGGAGCATGGTGAGCCTTTGAAGTTTCATCGTTCTTCTTCGTTTTATGAATATTAGCATATATTGGGATATCTTGCATTTTTGACAAGATTATCTGTAACTGTTTAATTATCCTCCTCCGGTGTCCCGTAGGTGATATTCCAATTTTGTGTAGAATGCTGTCATTTATTGCTGCACAGTCCTTCACAGTATTAAAACCAAACTCACGGAAGTGTAAGAGATACTGCTCCAAATTAATGTTCATTAGGAAATCTTCGATATCAACATTTACTTCACTGACTGAGGACATAATGGTGGCTTCATTACTAAACCACGTTATAAAAAGCAGTAACAACAAGATACACACACAAGAGATGGTCTGCTTCCGTATTGGTGTTTTCTTTCTCACTCGCAACACAAAAATGTCTCAAAATGTTATTTTCTCCATGTGAACGCTTTATGTGCTTAAGCCTGGGGGGGGAGGGAAAGAAAATTTATTCGGACATTTTAGTTATTAATACCTGGTTTTACATTATAAACTCTCTCTGAAAACAATAGAAATGAGGATAATTACTTTCACCCACTGGGAGTTTGGAATCTTTGTACATGACTTGGCATGCCCTAGAAAGTCAGTTGCTAGGTAGAGTGTGAAAGTACAGGTCAAAAATTCGATGGTAGTATCATATGGTGATTTTCAAAAAGTTAAAAAAGTGACTCTCACAAATATAAAATGAACATGTGTCAAAATGTTACTCAACTCATTAATGAAGGAACCAGTGAGATGGTAAGCCTAGTTCCAAGAGCATTTGTGGAACAGCCTTTAATATAGTTCATAAGACTTTTTTTTTTTTTTTCCAGTGTCAGAATAGGACTGGTAGGTTAGATTTAAAAAAAAAAAACTGTTAATGTCTTACAGAGCAATAAAATCATAACCTTTAGAGTTGTCTTTCTACTGGAGAAAGGTCTATAAGCTAATAGGTAACTTCCCAGTTCTGGGCTCTAACCAAATAGTAAATAGAAAGAGGAGCACAAGAATAAGAATTAAGTGGGCCCATTAAACAAAACTCCCAATTTGTCATTGAAAGAACTTGTTGTACACTCTTTTGATTATCAAATTTTAGGTAATTTTTCTTGACAGCAACTAGACATGAACAACTTTCCCCTCTACTCAACTTTCTTCAAAGACCCTTGAAAAGCACATTTAGAATGTATTTCTCAGGTCAATAATTTTCATTTCAAAAAAGCAGCACTAGATATACAATATCAATATACAAGATGAGCTGAATAATTAGTTAATTCTTAATATATTAGTTAATAGCTAATGTGAAAGTAAAAGGAAAAAGTTTAAGGGTCACAGTTCCCTTTATACACAGCAGTTTCACAATGGTTCATTTTCTTCTAAACAATATCATTCAATTTTTTTTAAAGTCAATCTATATAGATGCAGTTTTTACGGCTGTGTTCAATTTATGAAAATGTATATGTGCAAATTTCTGTATGTTTCAATAAAAAGAAAAAAGCACAGAATATGCATAACACCCACATACTGAAGTAATAAAATGAGACACACTCCAACAAAATAAATTTATCTGAACAAGCGCTGATGCAATGTTTCTGGATATCACATCTCAAAATAGTTCTCCAAAAGGCACCGCTTACATGCTGCATGTCTTAGAGCCAACGACCCGCAAACTATTGTTTCAACTATCTAAAATATAAGCAAATATTGACAAACAGGTATAGGATAAGAGGGAAAGGATATTTCATATTCAGGCAGCACTGTAGAAGCAGAGATATAAAAATACGAACAGGAGACAAAAGGCAGAAAACTACCTTTATCAATAAGATATCTATCACAGTCAAAATGATAAAATGTCAGGGAAAAAAAGTAGAAAGTTAAATCTCAACAACACATACAAACCTAAGTCTCAGATATACCACTCTTGTTCTTTACAATTATTTTGTAAATAAAAAGTTATCTAATTTTTTAGCACATCAGAAAATGGGAATGATTATTGCCAAGTTGGCTGGTACCTTGATCATGGACTTTCTATTCTCCTGAACTGTAAGAAAATAAATGTCTGGTTTGTTGTTGTTGTTGTTGTTTTAAGCTAGGACATCTGTGGTATTTTGTTGCAGCAACCTGAACTAATATACTCCTCCATCCTCACTGCCCCTGCCCGGTTCAGATGTTCATTATATCTCTTGTGTGTATTAAGCAACATTCTGAACAAATTCCTCAGTCCAGTCTCCATATTACTGAATTATTGAAAATCCAAATTTGGCATGTCATGCCACATCCTCGACAGGATAAAGTCTAAGCTCCTTATGGTGCCACATACATAGTCTGGTCTTGATCTAACAAAAATAATAGCAGCTACTACTCCTGTAAATGGCAATCATATGCCAGACACCAAACCTCATATGTATTTCCTGCAAGGTAGATGTTTCTATGTACTAACTCCAGGCTTAAGTTCAACCCCTCCCAAACATTCTACCAACATCCTTCATTCATTTTGCTCATTATTATCATTCCCAAGGCAACAAACCATTTAATAGCTCCATACTTTTTTGTTTATGTTGTATCTGATTGTAAATCTATGTATTTTGCAAAATCTTACACACTGTTTAAAATTTTGAATAGGTAGGTATTACCTTCTCTGTAAAGGCTTCCTATTGACCTTAAATAGAATCACTCTTTTCTCAATATATGACTAGGATCCTAGAAATTTGGCAAGTGCTTGGGAATATTTCAGAGATAAGAGAGAGGTTGGTAGGGATGGCTGAAGTAGTTGAGAAGCCCGTTTTGTTAGTTTCTTGGTGTGCACGTGTGTTTTAATAAACAAAGCCTTTCCCTTCCCTTGGAGTGTATTCACACACTTCCTGGGTGGCTGAGTCAAGGATGGATACACCAAATGTTCTACCCAGAACCACTGCTATCAGTCAACATGCTGAATATGGCTAGTGAACCTGATCTCTTTTTGTTACCCAGAAGAAGCTTCCACTTACAGGAACTAAAACCCTCTCTGCACTTTTATATCAGCTCCATCCTCCAGGCACCTGTCCTTTTAACTTACCATCCAATGGTGTTCACAGATCCACTTCTTTCTTTAGAGGCTTCTAGCCCATACGTACATCATCCGAGGCAAAGAGATGGATGTGCCTAACTATAAAAGTCTACTATACTCAAACTTCTTAATATGAAATCAAAGCCCTCCCCTCCCCATTCCAACCTCCACTTGGGCACAGTGGTGTGTATGCTGTGCTCTAGGTCAGCAGCTCTCCAGGTACTGTTCTGTGGATCTGCTGTACAGCAAAGAATGTCAATAACAGGCCCAGGAACCTGTATTTGTAACACACTCCAAAGATGACTGACATGGGCAACAAAATTTGGTAATTACAAGTTTCAATTTCCTCACTCCCCAGTATGCTTCACACCCTCTAACCTGAGCCTAAGTTCACTGCCCTCCTCCCCTAGGGTGGTATGCCCCTCCTAACCCATCACCCCCAAGTCTAGAGTGTGGCTCAAATCCCACCACCTCCACTTTCGAGCAGTGTAAAAATAGGCATATATGTGCATGTCAGTTTCCTTAACCATAAAATAGAAACGCTCAAAGGCACCTGAACACTGGTGAAGATTAAATGAGATAACCCGTCGTAAATGTTAAAATAGTGCTTAGTATACGTTAAGTGCTTAGCAAACATTCGCTTCCATCATTATCATTACTCCTTTTCATCACTACAGTCATTATCTTCCCACAGCTGAAATCTTCCCTATTCTTTGAAGTCTAGCTCAAATGCAATTTTCTTCACAAGGTCTCTACTGAACAAGAAATAAAGTTCTTTATATTCCTACAGCATTCACTTTTTAGAGCATTAAATTACATTCTACTCATTCAGTAGTAACCCACTGAAGAGGGATAGCACAGTGCAAAAGCCAAGATGTTGGAGCTGGACAACCTGGGAGAAATCTCAGTTCCTCCACTTACTAGTTTTGTGAGCATGGGCAAGTATTTAACCTCTCTGTACCTCAGTTTCCTCATCAGGAAAATGGAAGTAATACTACTACCTACTTCGTAGGGCTATTGTAAAGGATTTACAATACCAGCTGCACACAAATACCAACAAATGTTAAATAAATGTCATTATAATTATTTTTATCATCCCATAATAAACTAGTAATTCTGCCAAGATGATGGCCTATAAATTCCAACCAAATTATTTGTTTATGAACATACTGCATGGTTTCTATGTAGTACACATTTAGAGAATATACAAATAGTTGGCGTGACAGATGTGGTTGTGTGTTTACTCATCCTATCCTGACCCATATCCAAGAGGAAGAAGAAATAAAAGAGAAGTACCATTTAGGAGCATCTGCTACACGCCTGGCTTGCAATACCATTTAATAAACATTATCTCATTATCTTGCTGCGGTCTGCCTTGAAACCACTTTCTCAACCAACTATTTGTGACCACATGCCCTGCTTACATTCTAGTCCAAGCCATTATCTTGCCTATCTTAGACCATTACAATAGCCTTCTGACTGATAGTTCTGATTCGGTCCTGGTCTCTTGCCCTCTACACTACATTGTCAATACCACAGCTAGATGATTCATTTTATAACAAAAGTCATACCATATCACTCCCCGTGACCCCCCAACTTCATCTTCGCTGACCCTCCCGCTCTATTACTCAACTGCCATCAAGTTGGCCTCAGTCCTACTCCCACCTCACGCCCTTACCCCTCACCCTTCCATCTCCTTCTAATCTGCTTCCCCAACATATACCCATGACTCATGGCTCACACCATGAGTAATAGGTCTCTGCTCAAATGTGCTCCGCAGGGGAGGCCATCCCTAATCCCCTGGGTATATAAGCACGCCTTGCGCCTCGCTACTCCCCACCCTTGTTTTATCTATCTTCATGGCATTTGTTACTACCTGACATCTGTGGACTCTTCCAAGAGGTCAGGGATCTTGTCTAGTATTCAATGCTCTAGCTCTTAAGTTTGAACAGTCAGACATATAGCAGGTGCTGAATAAACATTTGCTGAGTGACTTCCTCTCAGCTTTGAGATGATTTAAGATGAAGAGTAAAAAGTAAACATAAATTAAACTTTTGAGTAATGAGGTCACCAAACTTGTAAGAAGCAGAGACAGGATTCAAATACAGATTTCTCTAATCCATCTAACCACTAAAAGTGGTCAAATCAGGAGTTAGGAGTTGGGTGCAGAGCAGCTGGAAACATTACCAACCACCTATGGGGTTTTTAAAAACTCAGGGGTTGGGACAGGCTTCCCCCGCCCAATGCTTCAACTGAGGAAAACCACCAGTGATTCATCCCCGTCCCCACCCCTACCCATTACTAGTGGAGTTTTGTCATTTCTCCTAGTTCTGCTAAGAAAGAAAAAGGCTGAAAACCACAGGTCACTTCATTAAACCATAAGGCCATTAATTATTCAGTGCT